TCTTGTGAGAATCTCTGGTTCAATAAACACCAATAAAGTCATTGAAGTGCTCATTCATATGCCTTATGTCCTTCACTATCTTCTCTTTATCTATTTGTCCCCACAAATTGTTTCTAAAGTTCCAATAATCTGTTTAAAAGCTGCACAAGACTTATGACCTATCAACCGATTCTTCTTCATTTGTGGAAAGAAGCCAAAACTAGGAAATGGCCTTCTGCTCTGTAGGTATCACATAACACTTGCTTTCCAGATTGTTTTGAAGATCACACTTAAAAGGATTTTAAAGCCCGAGGGACGTTCACAGAAGGAGTTTGTTCATATAACAGCAACTGCCTCCACAGAGGCAACAGGGAGAGAAGCTCAGTTGACATAGCAAGCTTGAAGAACTTGTTCATTTCTCTGATGTTCTCTGAACATATCCTAAAGTTACGATGTGGGCAACTACCAAAGAAGGAAGCTTTTCCAGCATTGTTAAATGCTTAGTGTACTCATGTATTAAAATGTAAATAAAACTTAAGGACAAAGCATATGTTTATACTTACTAGACCTTTCCAAACCTGCTGTCCAGCAGGCATGAACTGCAAAACACATGTGGTCCTCATTTAGTGACCATTTGCAGTTATGTCAGTAATGAAAAAAGTAACTTTATGATTAATCTCATATTTATGACCTTTACAGGTCTATAAAGCAAAGGAAAGCTGAAGTAAAAACATAAGCACAGTCGAGGTTTCATTTAGCAATCATTTTGCTTAATAGCTGGTCCCAAGTGTGGTCACTAAACAAAGAATCAAGATCACGTGAAGTATTAATACCACTTTACAATTCCTTGGTAAGGCCACACTTGGAATACTGCATCCAGTTTTGGTCACCACGATGTAAAAAAGATGTTGAGACTTTAGAATGAGTACAGAGAAGAGCAACAAAGATGATTAGGGGACTGGAGGCTAAAACATATAAGGAACAGTTGCTGGAATTGGGTATGTCTAGTTAACAGTGTTCCAATATCTCAGGGGCTGCCACAAAGAGGGAGTCAAGCTATTCTCCACAGCACCTGAAGGCAGGACAAGAAGTAATGGATGGAAACTAATCAAGGAGAGAAGCAACCTAGAACTAAGGAGAAACTTCCTGACAGTTAGAACAATTAACCAGGGGAACAACCTGCCTCCAGAAGCGGTGAATGCTCCAACACTGGAAGTTTTTAAGAAGAGATTGGACAGCCATTTGTCCAAAATGGTGTAGGGTTTCCTGCCTGAGCAGGGAATTGGAGTCGATGACCTCCAAGGTCCCTTCCAACTTTTTATTTTTATTATTATTATTATTATTATTATTATTATTATTATTATTATTATTATTATTATTACCTATATTAGCTTTTAATCAGGAAGAGCGTTTCTCAAGATTTTTCAGTAGGTTACTAAATGGACTGAGAAACTAGTCAACAGTGCATTTTATACTTGTGAAGTTATCAGGAAAAAAAGTTAAGGATCAGAAATTAAATGAGAAAATGCAAAATAAATTCCATTTTCTTCTTTGAAGATTGGAGTGTCCAACTAAGTACATGGTGCAAGTTTTCTGATAGTAGCTAAATTTAATCTGCAAGTATTTGGCAGTTGGCTTCAGAAGGTCGTGGCTTTGCAGTCAGTCATATTGGCGCTGATAAGCTGAAGAAGATCAGAATCCATTTTGTTAAAGGCTACTGACCTTCAAAGTAAGTGGAAATCTGGTATTTCACCACCTCCTTGCCTTGCCAGTCCTTCAGACCCTCGGAACATTCACACCTTGTAGGGCATGTATGTCTTGTCAGTCTTTCAGGACTCTCGGAGCATCCCAAAAAATTGACCTGACCTGATTTGTTCCTGGAATCCATTATTTAGCATCTTCACATGTGTCGGGCCGGGGGCGGTCACCTTTCAGGAAACCGTCGAAATTGTGTGGCACCTGTCCACTTGGGGGTGGCCACTCCCGGGTATCCGGGGACCGTTTGGATATCCCAGATGAGCCCCCAAGTTGTTTGGAATGTGGCTCAAGATCCCAAAACAAACAAACTCACTTGGAATTCCAGAAACAAAACTTTATTTGAACAGAAGCACTTGCAAAGGCTTGGTGAGCTGAAGCACACGTACGAGTCCAGCCACACCTTAAAGAGCTGTTTGACACATTTTTTAACCTACCCCCCGATGCAGATTCCCCCTTCCCCTATTGCTCTCAATGCCCCTTCCCTAATCATCCAATAAACTAATCTGGACCGCCTAAAACCACTATCCCTCCCATGTTCCAGGAAGCCCCTTTGTGCACATCTTATCTATCACCATCTAATTTTCTGTTAACAAAGCTCAGTTCTTATAATCACCTATATATTTGTTTCCAGTTATACCTTTGCTAGTTTAAGCCCTAAACTTTATCCTGAGTTTTTGTGTTTCCTCTACTTGCGGTTTCACTTAGCCATTAGCTTCTGCTTTTCTTATTTGTATGTAATTAATTTGTCTGAATTTATGACTTTCAGGTAGTTTCTTCTATCGAACTTTACACTCATAAGAAATTTCTGATTAATAATCTACTCCTTTCATAAACAACCTAAGGAAAAAAGTTATTGAAGTAGGCCTCTGAATTGGGAGTTATGATCATAACTGCTCTTCCAGCATCCTTTTTTTTTTCTCACAATGAATCAGCACAAAGGGCTATCTAACCAGTTCAGGGGTTATCTATAGTCACAAAAAAGTGACAACTGTAACAGAATGAACCTACTAAGAGACATACAAAAGGGAGAATCAAGCCCCATCCTTGGAGATCCAATCTTGAGTGGATAAATCAATACTGATCAGACCATGTCCAAACCAACACATGTTGCACATTCATTGTGGAAATTAGGACCTGAAGAGATGGTATTAATGCCCATGTTGACTGAGAATCTAGATCAGTGGTTCTCAACCTGTGGGTCGGGACCCCATTTGGGGTCGAATGACCATTTCTCGGGGGTCACCAAACAACGCAGTCCACCATTTTCCCCCCCTTTTCCTTAGCTGTGCTACTCCCTTTTATTCTATTGGCTTTTGAAAGCCAGTAGAATAGACTCTCTTGAATAAAGTCTAATTCTATTGGCTTTCAAAAGCCAATAGGAATTGTCCAGGCTGTCTCTGCCCTGCTGAGCCCGCCAAAAGTCCCATTCTGCAAACGGTGCTGCACCAGTTGAGTAGTCCTCGACTTACGACCGGTTGAGTAGTCCTCGACTTACAACCGGTTGGGGGGTCGCGGCATTAAAAAGGTTGAGAACCACTGATCTAGATAGACCCTGATTTATTACTTGGGAAAGGCCCAGACAGCACCTCTATATATTTATATGACCCAGTGGCTGAGAATTCAGAAGCTACAGTATCGCAGTTCCATAGTAACCGAACAGTAACTGAAATACTGTAATTGTGAATGCCCACTAGATTAAGATGACCTTCATGACCACTTTCATACATTTTGTGAAAATTCTGAGGATAGATGACAGACTGAAAAACAATATCCTGAATTGCTAAGAAATATTGCTGAACACAAATAAATCTTTTGGGAAAATAGCCACATAGAAATAGATGTCACCTAAGTCTTCTGAGGAAAACTAATCTGAAATACTCTCATTCTGAATCTTGGTTGGATGTATGTGTTGAAAGCAAAGATCAAGTATAGAGCATGATCTTTCATTAGTATTTAATATCACAATATGAATAAAAGCAAGTTGTAATGGAATAAACTTAAGTCACTCCTTTTTGTGGCTGAAGTGAAATTGTCTTCAAAGAAATAAAATCAGATAGAAGACAACTATTCATGAACAGTCACCAGTGTGTAACTGAAGGTGACTTCCTTCATAATCAAGAGTTATGATATCTCAAGAGTCCCAGAACTGAACATATTTTTGACAGTGAAATCTGTTCAGCTCAAAAGCAAATGACAGAAAGGATGGAATACAAAAGATATTTTTTTAAAAAAATGCTGCTCATCAAATGGGGATGCCATTGTGCGCTGTTCAAAAGCCTGCTTCAATAACTTTTTTCTTTAAATTGATCATTAACTTTTTTTTTTTAGTCTCTTCAAGTCAGTGTTGACTCGTGATGACTACCTGGGCAAGATTTTCAGAAGTAATTTGCCATTGCTTACTTTCTGGATCTGAGAGAGAACCCAAGATCATCCAGCTGGCTTTCGTGTGTGAGGCAGATCTAAATCTCACAGTCTCCTGGTTTCTAGCCTGACGCCTTAACCAGTGCACAAAACCAGCTCTCTAATTTATTACTAAGTGATTATTAAAACACTGGGAGGACAGTGAGAATAGCACCAAGGAACAAGCATAGTAAGAGCCCTCTTCCTTTAAAAAATTGTTCAGTTACAGAAGGTTTCTGATGGGCTATGTCTGCAGAAACTGCTCACGTAATTATAGTTAAGAATAAGCAGCCTTTTAATTCTGTCCTTTCTCCAGCTACCTGAAAAAAAAACTCCTGAAAATCTCTGAAGATTTGGGGGAAGTCTCATTAACCCTCTACATACCACCATATGTTATTCAGGATCAGAAAACAACTTTTTTTGTGGAGGGGAACAAATGTCTTCAAAAGGAGGTATGAGCATATGACCTTACATAATCTATCTTGTCTCAGAACGTTCCTCTTGTACCACCCCACATGGTTTAGGAATCATTTCTACGTACAAGCCATCAACTCTCTAGAGATACTTTGTAGGACAGACAGCAGGAAAGTCTTTCTTTAACTTTGGTTCCAAATTTATTTTATTTTATGTAGTATACAGTAGATATTCTTTCTGACACATTTAGAAGTGTAATATATAAAAACCACCATTCTTGGTTGCCTGTCTAGATCTTAAAATATTTCAAGTTAATTAAGATAATATTGGTTCCATTTTTTTATTTAAGTGTGAAAAGTCTTTATATATATATATATATATACAGTATATATATATATATATATATATATATATATATATATATATATATATATATATATATTGGATAACTGTACAAATAACATAATTCCATTTTAACCATAAACAGTTATCACCACAGTTGAGTGCTATCAAATATTTTATTTACAAAACATTAAAATGCCTGATGCCAGATTTTCTTGTAATATCTTACCCATAGGGTAATAAGTCCACCATAATTACTAGGTGCTTTTTATATAATACAGAAGCATAACACCCTATGTTAATAGTTCTTCTACAAAAAAATTCACAAAGTACTATGAATTTCACCAAAAATACCAATGAAAAATAAGACTCAAAAATACAATTTCTTCTTACTTACATAACACAGAATAGGTTTAAAAAGGCACAACTTTGAAATTTGTATAAATGTAAGGAATTGTCTTAGCAAAGGAATCAGGACCAGGCTTTATAAATTGGTTATCATCTTTTATGGTAAGTCTCACACATAACACTCACTTTCTTTTTGCTCTCGTAAGGTTCTTTCCATAGCGGTTGTCCCATAGGAGCCCAAATAGCCCTCTTCTTGGATGCTTTTCTGCTAATTGCCATAGTTTTAATATCCAACATCAAGAGATATATTTAGGGCTCTTCCACACATCCCAATGGACTACCCAACTACTAGCTATGCTTTGGATCAGTGTTTTTTAATCTTGGCAACTCTTAACATGTATGGACTTTAACTCCCAGAATTCCCCAGGTAGTATACCATTGCCCTAGATCACCAGATTGGTTTACGAGTAACTTCAGGGGAAAGAAGGCCTAGAGTTGTGCCTGGGATCAGATGGAAAGCAATGTGAAGTTATGGAAGGAAGGAAGGATTTCACCAAGGCTGACGTTACACATCCACATGAGATCTGCTCAGTAGGAGAGTATGTTTTTTCCTACCTGGTCTTTACAATATACTCCTTCTCTTTCACACACACAGTAATGTTCTGTGGAAATGTGGCAGCATCTCTTGTAATTAAGGGTGAGTTACCTTTAATAACCATAGAGTAATGTAAATACTGATAACATAGTACAAAACACAGCAATTTAAGGCAGTGATCATTCAATGCTACATATCTTTTTTCAAGGTAACACTTATTTGATCAATAGGAAAGTGCACCATGATATAAAGGTACAACTGAAATTCACCAAAACACAACTAATGTGCTGCTTTAAAAAGCCTCAAATATCATTAGAAACTGAGGACAACAGTAATAACTCTAGAAAAAGCAAGTGAAAATTTTTAAGGAGAGGCAAAAACCTTATTTCATTTTCCTTTAGTAAAAATTTGTTCATTCCAGTATGTTTTCCTTAAACATCACTTACAAAGTCTCAGTGAGAAAATATGGATGTTGATCAAACACTGCACATCAGACATCTTTTCAAATCTCAGATAAGTAAGGCAGTATTATAATCACTGCATTACAGGTTGTGTTGCACAATGCCATTACTTGCATGACATGTGATACTTCGATGGTGCAGGAGCAACTAAGAAGAGCAGTATGGACAGGAAGGAATTATTTTCCATTTTCTTTGATTGTGCTCCCTCCCAATCTGCTTTTCTCAATGGGGACTGCCTACATTCCACTGAGAAGTTAAAATAAGCATATGGAACAAGCATATGAAATGGTAAATAAGTATTTACTTAGGGAGGAAAGCACTGATACCCTTCTCTTGCCTGCCTGCGGTGCACTTTAAAATCTTATCTATTTTTTTAATAGAAGAAATGGAAGCAATCTCATTTTAACCATAGGCGTATTTCTGGCCCATAGGCAAACTGGGTGCTTCTCAGTCAACACTTCTAGTTGTTAAACTGTATAGGTTGATAATGATAAAATGGTAAGCCATGCACTGAAAAGGAAAACATGCCCTCCTCACTGTAAGATCTACCATATCTAGCTTAAGGGTCTAGACATTTTTTAACCATATTAATGGCTGCATTTGAAAGAGGATTTTAAGAAGCTAGCTCCACACAGTTTTAACAACAACAACAACAAAAAAAGGACTCAAGACAGGAAAACGAGAGGATTCTTTTTATGGTAACTTAGTGTAATGTAGGTTATTAAATCAAGATTTGTATTTTTTTGATGATCAGACTGGATGATTTTAAAGTCCATTATGCCTCCATGGTGTTCTGAGGAATATAGGCTTCCCTGATGCAGATAAGGTCTACTGCAATTGTAGGTTTATGAACAAGCAAAGCAGATGGAGAACATTCAGTGATGACTGAGGTGACAACTAACTTAGGGCAGATTCTAGCATGTGGAGAAAAACACAATAAAAGGCACATCTTGGCCTACATAATGCTAATAGCAGCAGTAAAACCTTGCTTGCTTGGAGGAACCATTGCACTGGCCTAGAGAATGCCATGTTTATAGTCATGTGCCGAGGAGATTTCCCATCTTCATAGTCATTACCAATGTCCAGATAAGACTTCTGTTATTCTACTAACAGGCATAGACTTTTTTGTCTGATTTTTATTAAATATGTAGGATTGGTATTACCAGTCATGTTTATTTTGCCCATCCTGTGGTTGCTTCTCCATTGATGTAGGCAAAGCCAGGAAAGTGTTGCATGTGCTCATATTCAGAATTTCTCCGTGTGGTTAATGGGGTGTACATGTCACTGGAATTTCCATATCTTGTGGAATGCATGGATGGACTTGTATAGCAAGGGTTTGCCGAGGGCACCTCTGGCCAGCGAGGTGTAACTGGAGAGGGATGCAGTCTTGGGGTGCTGCTCATCAAGCAGGGTTCCATCCGTGAAGACGGGCTATTGAAAGGGTACTAAAGACACAAAAGTATATTGTGAAAAAAAAATTGTCATGCAACTACATTTCATATCCCCTCACCCGAAAAGAAATAAATAAAATGCAAATTCTGTCAAAGCAGTCTCCTTAACTTTTTATGGTGGGAAATACACAATTACAAAAACTGGTGATTGTGCAAGGGAAAACAAAGGTGGTCTAGGAATTTTAACTAGTATACAATAAATCTATCCCTTCCATCAAATCAGCAAGCACAAGATAAATAATAAAGGTTTGCTATTGCAATTAATACAAAATAAACATTTCTCACATTATATCATATACCAGTGATGGCGAATCTTTTAGAGACCGAGTGCCCAAAAACCACCCCGTCCCCATCGCTCTGCTCAGCCTGTCCCACCCCTGCCCCACCTGCTGGGCCACCCACCACCTCCATGGCCAGGCGCAGATCGCTCAGGCGGCCCTGCAGTGCCATGGTGGACATGCCCTCCATCCGCGCCCCACAGCATCATCTGCGTGTGACGGGGTGCGAGGGTGGAGTCTTGCCCCTGCTGCCCAGCTGCCATGTGTTTGGCTGCACTGCTCCATGCCTGGGGGCGACTCTCCTCCTGGGGGGCTGCTGATGAGGAGGGGGCCACAGGGGGAGGCAGGGCTGGGGTGACAGTGCACATGCCCACAGAGAGGGCTCTGAGTGCCACCTCTGGCACGTGTGCCGTAGGCTCGCCACCACTGTCATATACTATCGCATATTGTATAATTGTATGCAAACATTTAGGCACACCTAGTTACATTGATTGTTTTAATGAATTCCTAAGTGAAAAGCTCCTGATCTTACAACTAAAGTAAGGTGAAAAATCAAGCAAATTGGAGGAAGCTGTGTATTCTATTGTATAGGAATAAACCTTGATGTGAAAGAAGTTTTTTCATTCACAGTTTCCTCCTTTATTCCAGATCTCTTTTGCTCCAGATTTCAGGCCTACCTGAAACCTGTATCTCCTCACTTGAAAACCATATTCTTTATTTGGAAACGGGGAAAGGCCTAATTTAAAAAAAACATTTTCAATCAGACATATTAATATTTGATGAGATTTCTAAATGGAAACCTTATATGGACTTTTTTGCTGAAAAAAATAAAAATGATATGATAATTCGTGGGTTGAGAATTAAAAAATATGTGGACAAAGTGAGGGCTTGAAGGGATTCGTATGACATCTAGGAGGGAGGATTATAAGATTATATTTGTTGAAGAGAAGATCAGAAGACATGCTTTATAACCTTATTTTTTTTACTGTCCCCTTTTCTTTTCTTTTCTATTTTTTCTTTAGATTTGGCTTTTAATGTATGTAAAATTCTCAATATAAATAAATAAATAAATCATTTCTTGTATATCATTCATTGAGGCATGACACAGTGCACAATACTGGGGCAAGACCATGGCTTCCTAGACTATGGTCTGCGTTATCTACATGAAGGGCTACTGGCAAGGGATGGGCTGAACCTCACAAGAACTGGAAATAATATATTCAGAAAATGACTGGCTCATCTTATCAAAAGGGTTTTAAACTCAAATTGAGGTGGGAGGAGGGGCAATCTTCACGAACTTTAGAACCTAATTCCAAGCAAAAAATACTAGATAACCAATCACATAAGGAAATAGGGAGTAAAGAGAAAGAAGAAATGAAAAAAGAAAAACATAATGAAGTAGAGAGTGATGGAAAAGATGGCAACTCCAATTACAAAGTAGGAGATATAAGAAACATACCCCAAACCCACAAAAGGATTCAAATGCCTATATACTAACACTCAAAGTTTAGGGAACAAACAGGGTGAACTTGAAGTATTAGTACATGAAGGCAGATACAATATAGTTGCATTACTGAATCTTGGTGGGATAAAACTATTTCTTTTCATTGGCAGTGCAGATTGCCAGAGAAGAAAAAAGTCTCCTTAAACTTAAACTCCATAGATACTATGACCCACCATTCTCCGTTTTGTTAACATTCCGAGGCAAGCAAGCCCAGGCAAAAAGAGCTAATAAACAACTGTAAAAACAAGGGAATCAGGGACACAGTGAGTTGTTTCTCTGCAGCCATCCCTGTCACTCCCCCCACCTTGATGCAGCTGTGTTTATGAATGTATCATGAATATAAGAAAGAATAATTGCTGGAAAATAATATGGCATTGCAAATATGTAGTATTTTTACAATAAAATCTGTGATGGCTGAAGGCCCAGCATGGAAAGATTTGTATGGGTAGGTCAGCTAATTGCAAATGAGTCAGGGACTTCTTTTTCCTTCCAGTGAAGAGACTATTGAGAAACAATATTTTTAAAATCCGCCTTGGACCCTGCCTGCCTATTAACTCCACTAGTGAAGCATCTATTCAGGCTTGTTGGAGTGTCCAAGGCTTTACCATCTGCGCGGATGCCTGCCCAAGAAGCTGAATCACCTTTCACACTCTGCATCCGGTTTAATGAAGAGTGCTTAAGCACGCTGATCTCAAAACACTGGGGCCTAGTGATCTTTGCCTAGTATAAAGGCGACATTTGTTGGAGAGCTCTTGACAGGAAATTACCATTTTCTGGGTCAACTCACTTGCCATCCCCATGCCGTTGAACCTTGACAAGAAACACTGGCCCCTTTAAGTTGGGGTGACTTTGAGCTGATTATTGTTAAGGCTCTTTCTCTCTCAAATTTAAAATGAGCTCTAGTTCTTTCCCGTTATTATTTTAGGAAATGCTATTTTAAGTGCTCCACCACCCAACCAAGGTTGAGTTCTTGAAGATCAATCTGAAGAATAATCTTTTTATTCTTATCCTTCAGCTTCCTGGTTGATTATGCAGAATGAAAGGTGCTTCTGTTCAAACAGCAAAAATATTTTCCTTATAAATGCAATTCTTAACATGATAAGAGTTTTGTTCATATTTTAGAAAATTTACTCTATCTCTGATATAAAGCAAAATATTGCTTTCAAATATTTAGTCTTACAGAGTTGTAATATATTTCACTGGTCTTTTAAAAATGCACATTAGGAAGTATGGAATGTATGTTGTAAAATCAAGACATGATACAGATTTTTTTAAATTGATGGTTTTATATATATATTATTACAACCCTTGTTTTTCATGTCCAATATTTCTCTATCTTTCACTTAATATACAATATTATGGGATTATTAAAATTCAGCTGATGATTTCAGAAGATAGCCTTGTTGGTTTAGTGGTTAAGGCACCAGGCTACAAAGCAGAAGATTGTAAGTTCTAGTCCTAGTTCTAGTTGCTGCCTTATTTATAATAATAATAATAAAAATAAAAATAATAAAAGCGGGATTAAAAAACTCAGTTCTAGCTCAAGATACTGGCCTCCACTGTTCTGTTACTGCTCTCTTTTGGTGCCTGGAGACTGGGAGCCTGGATGGGGGACAACAGGCTTCTGGTGAACCATGGCAAAACCAAATGGCATTGGATGCATGGGGCCCCGAGATCTAGGACTTTGTCATCTTTAATTCTGGATGTGGTCGCACTACCCCAGATGTATCCCGTCTGCAAGTTGGGGGTTCTCCTTGGATTTGCAACTCCTGCTCGAAAAGCAGGTAGCAGTCGCAGCTAGGAGAGTATTTGTGCAACTTCAGGTTATGTGCCAGTTGTGGCCTTTCCTAGATCAGGAGTCCTTGCACTTAATCATTCAGGCCTTAGTCATCTCACAGTTGGACTACTGCAATGTGGTCTAGATGGGGCTACCCTTGAAGAGCATTCAGAAGCTATACTGGTGCAGAGTGTGACAGCACAGGCAGTTCTTGGGATCCCAAAAATGGCTCATGTAACACCACTATTTCATGAGCCACACTGGGTGCCAGTCTGCTTCTGGATGCAATTCAAGGAGTTGGTAATCACATTTAAAACCCTTGGTGGCATGGGTCCAGGCTACTTGAGGGATCATTTCATCCCACTGGGATTGGCCCACCCCACAATAAAATAAATATTGTACTGAGACTTGAATTAGCTCCATACAAGAGAGAAATTTGTCTTCTGAATATCATACTTAACTACTTAGGGAAGAATAAAGGTCAAAGTGGGCAGATACAGGGTGCTTTAGTCTGAGGAAAAGTGTTTTCTATTTGTTTTAACTGTGTTAAACTAAATAAAGAATTTTTACGTGTTTTTCTACTGGTGGTATGAAATCATGACAGAAAAGGCACACTTCTAGCTCCAATCAGATGGCAATATTTAGGGGAAGGAGCAAGCCTACCCTATTTAACTTGAAAGATGTCCTTAGGAATAGGTGGTCATATTTTAAAATGATTAAAGGTGATGATCAGCATCTTGAATTGCACCTAGAAGACAGTGCAGCCTGTGCAACAAAGGTGTTACAAGGGCAAACCTAGTCCCTCCCCCATTATTTTGTACATTGCTGCATCCTAGACTAGTTGAAGTTTGCCAGTGGTCTTTAAGCACAGCTCATTTAGAGCACTTTGCAGTAATCCAAATGGGAGGTGACCAAGGCATGAGTCACAAGAATCAAGGCCTCCCCATCCAGAAAAGGATGCAATTGGTACACTAGATGAATCTTTGCAAAGACCTTCTAGCTATGGCTGCCATCTGCTCCTTGAGCAGGAGATATTAGTCCCTATGGAATAGAATAATGCTGGAAGGAACCTTGGAGGTCTTCTAGTCCAGCCCCCAGCTCAAGCAAGAGAACCTATACCATCTCAGACAAGTGACTGTCCAGTTTCTTCTTAAAAACCTCTGGTGATGGAGCGCCCACGATTTCTGAAGCCAAGCTGTTCCACTGGTTAATTGTCCTCACTGTTAGGAACTTTCTCCTTAATTCCAGGTTGCTTCTCTCTTTGATCAATTTCCAACCATTGTTTCTTGTCCTGCCCTCTGGTGCTTTGGAGAATAATTTCACCCCCTCTTCTTTGTGACAGCCTCTCAAATACTGGAATACTTCCCCCTGAAGCTCAGCAGGCCTCTACTCTCCTAGCCTTCCATAAAGCTTTGGAGACCTGGCTTTTTCTCCCAGCACTGGAATAAAATGAGATGACAGCACTCAGAAGTTTGGCTTGGCACCAGTTTTTTGTTTTTAATATTTTGTTTAGTTTTATGTTTTTATTATGGATTTTGCATTGTTTTACCTTTTGTTGGGAGCCACTCAGAGTTGGTTATAAGGCAGGTGGACATGTAAATGTTTTAAATAAATAAATAAATAAAATGTTATCAGTTTTAATAACTGTACTACAAGGGACCACATAAAAGATTTTAAGAGCTGAACATAATCTTGGAGCCATAGGTTGACCACCTGTATCACAACTCATGGTTTATAAGTCATTACAGCTGAGTTCATGCAATAGTCTAAGCTGAAACCAAATGAATCTCAGTATAGCTTTTTGCATGATCTCTGGACCCCAAGACAAACTCCTTGTTTACAACTTGAATGCACATGGGTTATTTAGTCAGCTTCATTAAATCTTTTCCTCCCCGTTTGTTATGGTCGGCACTTGATCTTTTGCAGCTTTTCAGACTGAAAATAAGAGGTGGAGTATTGCTCATCATCAAGCCAAGAAAGGGTTCTTTCTTTTAAATTTTTAACAAGGCTCCTAATAAAATCATGGAGGCAAGTCTGGTAAATCCACTGGGTGAAGTAGATTTGCCCAAAAGGAAGCAAGCAGAGACAATTTTAATTTTAGGGTTAATGCCACTCAAACATTAGTGCAAAATCTCAGAGATGCTTTGCTGCAAGTTGTACTTTTTGTCCCCAAGGAAATATGACCGGCCAATGGGATACAAATAACTTCAACAAAGGGAAGGATGCAAGTGCCCTGAACCTGACAATTCTCTCATTCATGCTCCATTAAAAGGAAAGAAAATCATGTTTTGTTCACACATGCATTTTATTCTGCTCAAAAGCAGTAAAATAAAATAGGCACATCAAACCTGGAGGCCCTTGGAAGTTCCTCTTTAGAAGTTTAATTGTTTACTATTTATAAATATTGCAAGTACTTGTGTTTTCCCCAAAATAAGACCTGGTCTTATTTTTTATTTTTTGCCTCCACGGTCTCACCTTCGGCAGTGGCACCAATAGCCCTTTCCAGCCAGCCCATTTCTTCTGCAGCTGAAGGAAATGCCTCTGCAGCTGAGAATGGAGCTCCAACCTGCATTTTGCCATCAGAGGCCTTCTGGAAAGGCCTCTGCAGCTGAGAACCAAGCTACAGATTGAATCCGTAGCTCAGTTCTTGGCTGCAGAGGCCTTTCTGAAAGGCCTCTGATGGTGAAATGCAGGTTGAGGGGCACCGCAGAAGAAGTGGACCAGTGAGGCAGGTTTCGATTCATAGGAGGTCTGGCTGCAACAGTATGCAGGTGTGGGGTATGTGGGGCAGCTCTAGCCCTGCCTTAACTTGATTTTTAGGTCCGCTTCCCCTCAAAATCAAGCTAGGATTTATTTTTGGGATAGGTCTTACTTTCAGGGAAACACGGCATATAGCCTGCATTTGTCAAAACTGTATCAATTTTCTTGTTAACTAACAAACTTAAAATCAAATGAACAATCAAACACTGACTGGCCAAATGTGAAAAGGGATAGGGTTGATCTTATGGCCACAGCTACCACCCTGACTTTTTGAAACCACTTCTTGTGGCTGCCCTGATGGATGTTTCATTTAACCTAATGAGCTAGGACATTGACTTGGAGGGATTGACACTGACCTGTGAAGAGTTTCGGTGATAAGCTGAGTAATGGAGGGGTGCAGAAATAGTGCTGTCGTGTGGTAAAGTTGGATACTGGCTCTGCATTGGGTGGGAATGCTGGTTTCCATAAGTACCATAGTTGTAACTTCCTGTGTACCTGGAAAAACATAGAAGAATCTTGGAACTGTATTTCATACAACAATTCCTTCCCCAAACTGAGGCTAATTGGAGAAGCCAGTTTGGTCTATTGGTTAAGGCACCAGACTAGAAAGCTAGATATTATGAGTTCAATTCCCACTTTCACCATGAAAGCTAGTTCGGTAACCTTAGGCCATTCGTTCTCTCTCAGCCCAATCCACCTTACAGGGTTGTTGTAGTGGGGAAATAGGAGGAGGAAGGTGTATTGGAGATGCCGTCTTGAGTTATTTGAAAAAAAAAAGGTGGGATATAAAAAAAACCAAAATAATAGTCCGAAGGCACAAGGCTAAGGAAGGATGTTGTATGCTTGTTTACTCCTTTCCTCTGCAAAAAAAAAAGTATTAACCTACCCATGCTCTTCCCTGTGGTGATAAACAGGTATCCTGTGTGTCACAGATGAATGAGGAACATGAGGACTTCTCATGCAAGGCAGCTGTTGAGAGTTTTCAGCAGGTGATCCAGCAGCTGTAGTTACAGTGTAGGTGAGAGACCATGTATAGGACTGCATGGCCCCTACATAAAACAGAAAGAGTCAGTTAGCTTCTAAATACTTTATAATCTCTATTAAAATCAAATGCAAGAATACTCTATAGATCTTGTAGATTCTTAACGGAGGAGGAGGTAGTAAGAGGAGGAAGGGGACCTGATGATAAATGCTAGAATCCTAGGTAGCTGTACAAGTTTTGAGAGAAGGATTGAGAAAGCTTTGTGTACAGAAGATAACCACTGGTCGATTTCATAAAGTAAGCTGCTTGGAACTGTACACATTACATTTCCCTACTAAGAGAACAAAGGTGGTTAATTTTAGTACTGTATATGCCGGTGTATAAGGCGACCCGGCGTATAAGACAACCCCCGTCTTCGGCGCCGAGTCACATGCCTAGAAAGTCGTCTTATACACCGGAAACTACCAGTATTTCCGGTGTATAAGACGACTCGGCGTATAAGATGATTCCCGACTTCAGCACCAATTTTAACACTTGCGAAAGTCGTCTTATACGCCGGAATATACAGTAAATCATGATCTAATAACATGCAGAAAAAATATTTTCATGTATCATATTTGAAAGGGGTTAAAATGGCAAAGGAAAGATCCTCTCAACTGTTCAGAATATGCTCTTCCTCACATTAATGTTGCATAATAAGGAGCCATATCTGTGAAGGCAGATTCTATATATGAAGACCACACAGAACATGTAAGACTACATCAGCTGATAAATGCTGCAGAAGAGCTTCTGTTGAAGGTACAGATATAAAAACTCTGAAGTCTTGGTGATGTTATATCTATGTCCATGCAGTGATAATATAGAAAGTGTTGGTCCTTATTTTCCTTTCCCATCCAAGAACCAAAAAATTCCAGTCCTGCTTTTCCAGGGCATCTATAGCAGGATAGCTTTTTGTTTGTTTGTTCGTTTCTTGAGGCAAACTGTGGCAGAAATATGTTAGGCTGAAAAAATGGAAAAGTAAAAGTGACAATGTAAGAGAAGAACCCTTTTCCAATAAGATACTCAAAATCCTGGGACTTTATGCATGTACCCTGTTTATTGTGCCATGCTGTGTCATTGACAAATGGATCATTTCCACAAAGCGCACAACCCTTTAAAGTGGGGTGTCCAACCTTGGCAACGTTAAGACTTGTGGACTTCAACTTCCAGAATTTCCCAGTCAGCATGGGAATTAAAATCCACAAGTCTTAAATTGCCAAGTTTGGACACCCCTGCTTTAAAGGATTCAGTATTAAGAGTGCAACTGGGGTCAGACTGAGGAAGAGATGATTGTAAATGAATCTTTCCCTTGCAATAGTTAATTTTGTCTCCTATCAAATTCCAGAGAGGTTTACACTTGCAAATTGTTCCCAGAAGATGACTGAATAGGCACAGTAGCACAGGAGTAGAAAAATGGCAAAGGCCTTTCCTTTCCACCTTCTTCACATTAATATGCCCATTCCAAACAATCTTTGCAAACCTTTTTGGTAATCAGGAATTTATTATAGGCATTTGCATGTGGTTTTCACTTTCTCTCTAAGGCCATTTTCATTACCTTATGGAAGGAAATTCTGATTGCTGCAATTCAAAAATTGCATCTTACCATGTGGTAAGATGGGTGGCCAATAAATTTAATAAATAATAAATACAAAGGATATTGTAGCCTGAAAAAAGACTAACCAGAATGACCAAGGATGGGTCTGGGGCTAGAACAACAGAATACCAGTGATGGAAATTTGTTTCCATCTTTATTTCCTTCCATTCCAAATGTCTCTTTTTCTGTGCTTATCTCAGAAATACATTTGGTTTTCTTTTAAGATTCTTGGAAATAATTCTTTTGTAAAAACTAAATGGAAGAGAAGCACTGTATGGAAAGCAGGCTGGGCCATTCTCATTCATTAAAATCACAAATCTTTCTCTTCGTGTGTAAGTCCAGTTTCCCTATCTTTTGTGAAGGTCCAGATATTATGAGACCGTGCAAAAACATCAGTATATTCTTTAAGGGTTAAATTATTTTTGGGCTGCAAGAATTCAAAGCTGGGATGTGAGGAGTGTGTTCATCCATGTGTTTCTCGATCTCTCAGCAGCCTTTTGACCATGGTATCCTTTGAACAGGTTGCAGGAGTAAGAGCGTGAGGCACTATGTGACAATGTTTTTCTCCTTTGTTAGTTGCTAGTCCAGTTAATGGTAGTCCAGTTAGTGGGAGAGGTCACACCCTTGACCCTCATTTATGAGGTGCCTCAGGGATTGATACTTTCTCCCCTCCTGTTTAACATTTACATGAAATCTCTGGGGGCAGCCATCCACTGGTCAGAATCCAATGATCATCAATATGCTGATTACACTCAGCTGTAATCTCATCTAGGGTCTGCCAAGTGACGCTGTCAATGTCCTGTCTTGGTGTCTGGAGGCTTTGTGAATCTGAATGGGGAGGAAGAGATTCAGACTCAATCCTAGCCTGAGTGGCTATGATTTTTTGTCTCCCCCAGGATTTCTGGATGACTGGTGCACAATTTTGGGGGTCATCTTAGCTCAATAATTCAAAGAATATGTGTCAAGATAGCTCTTTGCCCAGTTACATCTGGCTTGCCATTTGTGCCCTTTTCTTGATCAGGAGGCTCTCCAAATGATCACTCATACCCTAATCCCCTCAGATAGACTACAGTACTGTGCTTTAAGTGGAACTATCTTTGAAGACCATTCAGGTGCTGTAGCTGGTCCAGTTTGTAGCAGCATAGCAAGCCTTGGTACGTTTATGTGACAGTGTTCCTCTGAGAGCAGCACTGGTTGCTAGTTAGCTTCGGATGCAACTTAGGGTGATTATGATCTATAAAGCCCTTCCTGGCATAGGGTCTGGTTATTTGAGGGACAGTGCTGTCTCCCATGGTTTTTGCCCATCTGGTAAGATTGGATAGATTCAGTGAGGTTTGAGTCCCCTCAATCAATCAACAGCACCTACTGTAACCCAGGTAACGTACCATTTCTGTTGCAGCACTGGCCTCTGGAAGGATATACCCCTCCCAGAATTCTCACCCTAATGATGTTCCAAATGTTCTAAAAATTGGCTGTTCTTCCAGGGCTTGGGCTAGAAAATCTGAGGAGCCTTATTGGTGATGTTTTCTGTCGGAGGGAATGTGCTGCCAAAAGCATGGAGTTTTCTATTGGTTTCTTTTTATTATTATTATTTTTAACATAAGCCACACAGAGTTGCTTAGATTTGATATGATGTTAAAAAGACAGATAAATTTTGCAACTCTGTGCCTAATAATTCACTGATACTACTGATGATCAGACAGTCTTAAAGAAATTACTGTATTTATCATTCTGTATAAATTTGGAGTGTAATGAAAACCTCTTGCAGTTTTAGGTCAACATTATCTTTTCAAAAGTCTACAGTTCTTCTTAGCCTTACCAACCTGTGGAAGTTGCTAAGCCAGCATACTCTGGGGACTGGCTGGTTATAGGAGAGGAAACGGATGGAACATCCACTGAGGTGGCAGATTTCGCTGGAGAAAAAGCAACAGGGGAGGGACTCGATGGGACAGGTTCTGCCACTGTGATCTCTTCTTGTACTTCAACTGCAGCCAGGAGAAAAAGGAGTAGAAAATATAAACATGAGAATTATATCCCAGCATTCTTTTTTCTGTATTTATTCTTTTTTTTTTTAGGATGCACATCTTCAATAAAATTCTAAGTCTGAATATTGCAGACTTTACTTTATCACAAGGCACTTTAGTACACACATCTGTCATGCTTTAAGAGAAGCTTTTCTGATGGGTCAGCTGTTCTCTCTCTCTCTGGCCGACCCATTGTTGTTGGGGGGGAGGAGAAGGAAGGAGTATTAGATATGTTTGCTGTCTTGACTTATTTGTAAAAATAATAAAGGCAGGATATAAAATAAATAAATAAACTTGATAATAAATGAATGTTAATTACTGTTGGTATTTATTAATAAATGTAAATAAAATTAAACCTAAATCAAATGAATTAAGTTAATTTAGCGGAATGCCTAGTTTTAAAAAAATAAGTAAATAATATAGTGGGACCAGTCCTGGTGCATTGAGAATCTCTAGTCTAGAATGAGAAATCTGGGTTTAGAGAGCTGAAGTTAACCGGCCAAACTATCTGGCTATAACAGGAGTTTACATGTAACACAACTGCAAGGCATCAAATTGGAGAAAACTGGTGGGAACTGTGATCTGGGAATGCTACTGCATAATAGCAGCTACATTTGAGAGTAATTTGGAAGCAACTGCGATTTTAATGTGCCTTTTTGATCCTGCAGGAAAGGACATTGTTCCTATTTTGCTAAAGTAGGAGGGAGAACTTTGTATAAAGCAGTCTCTAGAAAACTGGTTGGCACTGTTGATAAGACTTCCTCTTCTATGTCATGCACCAGCAAATAAGCCTTTAGTGCCTTTTGCAAAAGGGAAAATGCAAATATAAAAAATTATTGAAAATCAAGTATGACAGTAAAAGAATTAAGATGATAATTAGCGGAAAAAACCTCAGTGCTACCCCCTCTACCTTGGTGCCCTAAACATATGCTTATTTTGCTGAATGGTTAATCCAGGCCTCAAAGAAGATTGCAGATGCAAAACAGGAGTCCTTCCTCTGCTCTACAGAGATTACATATGGAAGGTGCCACACTCTTCTACTTGGGAATTAAAGCTTTCTGACCTTCCTATGAAATCAGTTTCATAGCTTCAAGGCCTCAAGCCTGCAGACTGAAGTGTTTCCTTTGCCCTGATTTAGGCAAGATACATACTAAAGAGTAAGCACATACCATATAGCCTTTTGATTTATAAAACTTTCATCTAGCCCATAATGTCCACAGGTGTTCTCCAGTCTCTAACAAAGACATCATAGTTTCCCCCCCCCCCCTGCAAAGCATTTTTGTAACCATTGAGCATTAACCCAGAACCCAGGGTACAGAAATCCAAAGGACGGGGAATCATATAAAAAGATAAGTCAAAGCCAGTCATTTCATTATGACTTATTATAATGTGTAAGCATAGTCAGGCCCAATCAATTTTTGTCCTTAGTACCACACACAAAAGCAGATGTTCCATTGCCACATTTTTTTTTCTACTATTCTAATAATAATAAACATAGACAAACATGGGACCAGTTGGGGTAGATTGATGTAACTTCAAGAGAGCCACCTTACCTATGCCAGTGCCACCTTTCATTGCCCTCATCAATTCATTGGCTCTCTCCTGGCAGTGGAGTGATTCTAACAAGTACAACACATAGTCATCAAACATCAGGTGAATAAGGTGAAAAGATCCTGGTGACAAAATAATGTGAGGAAAAAGTGAATGCCCTTTGCATGAAACTCATAGGCGTTTGCAGTCCTGCTATTAATCACTTAATTGTGAACTTCAAGCGAAAGAAAGAAACTATGGTACTCAAGGGAGGCACTTGGAATGATCTGTTCTGGTTACAGGCAGTATGAGAGATGCTACCAAAGACACAAAGAGCCATGGGTGCGGAGTTGCACTGCTCCTGCCTGCCCACCAATCAGTTGCTTGATAGACAAAAATGCTGTTTTTTTGAGTCAGTTTTGACTTCTGGCAACTGTTCCCTGCAGTTCTCTTGACAGCCTTTTCTGAAAGTGGCTTGCCAGCTCAATATTTCTAGGGCTAAAAGAAGTGACAGGGCCAAGTTTATTTAGTGGGTTAGGGTAAGACTGGAACTAAGAGTTGCTTGATTCTTTGCCTCATACTTTAACCACTACACTAAGCTAGCAGTTAGCAATAGAAGGAAATGTTATAAAAAAAAAACTGTTGTGGTTATCAATCACACTGGGTACACTTCTGAATAAACAGCAAATCTAGTACAATCAAGGAATTTGCTTTACAATAAATATGATAAGGAAACTCTGCTTTGCATAATATCAGTTTGCTGCTTTCCATAGTGCTGGTTCAGCTCTGTCACTGGGCAGTGTGAAACAGATCTCTCAACTGTTCTTCCCCAGCTTCTCATCAATTGCCTTCTAGTGAATGAAATAAATTTATTTATTACATTTGTACACTGCTAAATCTGATAACTGAGCGCAGATTGGAATAATGGCACCTTTAAAAACCAAAATACAAAACAGACAAATTAATAGCAACCTAACATGAAGAAAATGAGTGCATGTATCCTGCTTCCTCAAACTGGTAAAGTGGCAGAATCAGCTGGCAAGCTGGCCAGCTTCAAAATTTTATTTATTTTTTTGTTAGATGACTATCCTACCATCCATCCAAGAGCTCAGGGTGATGTAGGCAGCAGTTACGTTTTGCCCTACAACAGCGGTTCTCAACCTGTGGGTCGGGACCCCATGTGGGGTCGAACGACCATTTCACGGGGGTCGCCAAACAACGCAGTCCGCCATTTTTTTCCCCCTTTCCTTAGCTGTGCTACTCCCTTTTATTCTATTGGCTTTTGAAAGCCAATAGAATAGACTCTCTTGAATAGAGTCTAATTCTATTGGCTTTCAAAAGCCAATAGGAATTGTCCAGGCTGTCTCTGCCCTGCTGAGCCCACCAAAAGTCCCATTCTGCAAACGGTGCTGCACCAGTTGAGTAGTCCTCGACTTATGACCGGTTGAGTAGTCCTCGACTTACGACCTTTTGGGGGTCACGGCATTAAAAAGGTTGAGAACCACTGCCCTACAAGAATGACTTTGGAGAGAGACTCTGGCCCAAAGTCACCCAGGGAGCTTTTGCAGCTGATGCATCTTCCTGGTGTACATACAACACCTTAGCTCTGGCGTCGCACAGGCTCTCTCAGGAGTATGGCATATTGGTTTTACATGCGGAATGGAGGATGGACGACATTTGTTTTTTATCTCAGATACTAATGATAAAAGCCTGGTTCCAGATGTATTGGATTTAGCCTTTCTAATCAGCAGTTGAAATTTATCAGATATACAAGACACCAGATTATGGAAGATTGCATCAGAGGAAATAGAGTACCCCCTGGGGGGACTAGAGAATTGCCGTGTCTAGAATGACCTTTATAATAATTATCAATTTCAGGCAGAATTAATGATTGTATTTTTTCAATCTGATTTGATAATTTGATAATCTAGACTTTCTGTTATATATCAGCTCCCAAAGATTTGAAGCAAATGCAAAAAACAGCCAATCTTACTTAAACTTAGTCAAAACCTGGACCTGCTTGAGGACAACATTTTAATATGATTGCCCTTCAGTAAAGCCAAGATTTTTCTTTTGTTTCTTTCTAACCTCTCCTTACACATTAATATTTACCTCTCTTATCAAATAACTATATAATATATAGGGAGAAATTCAATGTTAAGATGCAAAAATAGCCATATCAACTTATGTTAAGATAATATGAAAGGACATTAAATTATTGTTTACACTGTGATTTTATACATGTTTATTAATTAATATTATTCAATGTATTTGCTTATTTTATATTAGTTGGGCTACTTGAGCTTCTCTGTTGCCTACATTAGGGTTATCCATTTTTTAAAATGTGAAAAAATATATTATTCTGATACTACTTCCTGCCTCCCTCCATGCCCACGTCAAAAATGGATGGGTTCACTTCTTGTCCTATGGAATTAAAGGATCCTTGATAGATGGCTGTCTAGCCTCTAACTGAATATATCCAGTAAAGGGGAAGTTCTCTGGATAAGAAATTCTACCATCAAACTCCTCTTTTGTTAATTTCAACAATTATCTTTTTGTACAGGTAGTCCTTGACTTACAACAGTTCATTTAGTGACCATTCAAACTTACAAGGGCACTGAAAAAGGTGACTTATGACCGTTTTTCACACTAACAACCATTGGAGCATGCCCAGGATCACGTGATCAAAATTTAGACACTTGGCAACCGACTCGTATTTATGATGGTTGCAGTGTCCCAGGATCATGTGATCTTCTTTTGCATGGACAAGCAAAGTCCATGAGGAAGCCAATTTATTTATTTATTTATGAGACTTATATACCGCTTTAAGTGCAAGCACTCTCTAAGCGGTGTACACCAGTAAGCAATGTATATATATATTTACATTGCCCCCAACAATCTGGGTCCTCATTTACCTACCTCGGAAGGATGGAAGGCTGAGTCAACCTTGAGCCGGTGAGATTTGAACCGCTGACCTGCTGAACACAGTCAGCTAAAGTGGCCTGCAGTACTGCACTCTAACTGCTGCGCCACCTCTTAACAACCATGTTACTAATTTAACAGCCACAGTGATTCACTTAACAACGGTGGCAAGAAAAGTCATAAAATGAGGCAAAATTCATTTAATAACTGTCTTGCTTAGCAACAGAAATTTTGGACTCAGTTGTGATCATAAGAACTACCTATATTATGTCACAATAGAAACTGGCTCTTTAGGTAGACGCTTAGGGTTGTAGAAAAAAAAAATCAGAACATCTTTTTTCTCAAAAACTATCATCACCATTATTACTACCTTCAACTCCATTGGAGCCCATTTTCTCCTTGAAAACAGCCACTCCCCAACCTTGTATACATGGAAAGGCATGAAACTTCTCCGGCCCCACTTTTTTTTATTATGGTGCAAAATTGCTCTTCCTCAAATCCCAGCAAAAAAAAAAAGTACCGAAGCTAGGTGCACTATGCAAAGTCATATCCCGAATTACTCTTGTGCCAAAACAGGACCACATCAAGAGGAACTGCGGAGCCACTTTCTTCAAGTAACCTGGCCTTTTTGCAGCTACCTGTCAATAAAAAGAAACAAGTGATCCAAGTGGGCTTACAAGGTATCATCTCGAATATATGTCAATATTTTGCCTAGGCTGCATTCTTGTAGGAGAGATGCCGGGTCTAGTACGTTGGGTTGCAAGGTAGCCTTTAGATTAGAGATCTTTGTTAACAGAGAATAGCATGAGTCTATTTAGCTAAAATTGCAATTGTTGCCAAAATGTGTCAAATCCGATTGGCACCGGCATTAATATTATTAGGCAATGTTGCATATGGATAAACAGTATAAGGCTGATAATTTAGTCTATATCTTCTTTGTCATATGAATCAGTTGATAAAACATGATAAATATCAGAGGTCAATATATACCAGCCAATCTGAAGATGATGATGATGGCATATGGAAGATTGCAATTGTGTGAGAGAAGTAAATGGTAAAAAAAATGAATTTAGACTTGAAAAGGGGGAAAGAAATACAGTAATGTTTTTGTGAAACTAAGGGAAAGGATGAGATACAGGTGCGTGAAAATGATCTTATGGAATAGAGGCATGTCAAACTGCCAGCCCACGGGCCAGATGCATCATATTGAAACCGCACCCACCCCATTGCCGGCAATGGGGAAAAAGTCGCAATACGTCGCGCAACGTCACGTGATGTCATGAGTTTGACATGCCTGGAATACAAAGTACTTCTGAAAATTTCAGTGCCAGTACCAGACTGCCTCAACTAACATTTTCAGAAAGTGAATACTTCCCATTTAACATTATTTATAACTTTGCAAATGCAATGGAAAGGATAAAACTTTTTATTTCATATTTCAATGTTATTGTCATTGTTCAAATCAACAAAGTTTTTTCCCCTCTTTTTTATTTTTGTTTTCTATTTTGGGATCCCCCTGATAGATTTGTACAGTGAAATACAATGAAGTGCTCCAGGTGGTGTCAGATAATCCAGGCAAAACCCATGAATCCAGATAAGCTCCAGGTAAATAAGTATATCTAGTCAAGGTAGGTCATACTGGAGTTCCAAATTATTTGCTGACTCAGTATGCTCTTTTTCTGTCCCCATTATAGTCTCAAGCAATTCATCACTTACAACTCACTTGCAAAAAGTTTACTATAATTACTGTGACCCACAGCAAATCGATCTGGCACAGCAAATCTTGAAATCAAAAACAGCAAGCACTGAAAGCAAACCAACCCCATTTGCTTATAAAAATATATTGGCTATATTGTTTAATGTTTTGTTTTGCTAAGAAATTGCTGAAATTGGTTGAATAAATAAGAGATGTGTCATGCTTTTCAACCCATAACATTAAAAAAATACTATTTTTTGATAAATTTATTATCAAAAAATTAATATGTTAGAGCAGGAAATATGATTATAAACTTGTTTTATTGTTACAGAACAGTTGCAGTTCTCATATCAAAGGTACATGGATATGAAAACTGTCCAAGTCACAAAGGGTTTCAAAAAGAAACATAACACGTGCCAATATTGATATTTCAAATAAAAAGAGTTTACTACAAACTCCTCACCCCTGTTCCAGCTACCAGCTGACTCTGAACTACTGTTCCTTTCCAGTTCTGGCCAGAGATGGCTGTAGTTTATTGGTAGAAACCATGACTTGCATGCAAAAGGTCCCCATCATTTCCTGACTGACTGAGAACGTTCTCTGTTTGAAAGACTGAACAGGTGCTACCTGTCAGACAATAATGGGGTCATTGAATCAGTGATCTGACTCATATATTAAGCTTCCTATATACCTGCATCACCACTTTGGCTAATATGCTCTTGACATCACCAAAACATTGTCTTCTGAACTGAAGGGGAAAAAATCCTCAAGTTTGGAAGTTGCTTCAAGAAGTTGCCTTCAGCTCCAGTTATTAAATAGAAATTAACCAGTACTGGATTTAGAACTACACATGTGGAGATTTTATGAGGGTTTATACACCATGTAATTAGCTTCTTTCATCCTTTGCTTCTTTTTACTGACCTTCACAACACATCTATCCACCATGGAATCCAGCCATTCGATGTATGATTCAATGGGTGACTGCTCTTCCAAAAGGTGATCAAATTCCTGATATACTGGCAAAATAAAACCCCAAGAATCCAAATCATTAATTGCTGTTGTCTCTTAGATGAAAGCAAATGAACAGTTGTACAAATTCCTCAGCTAAATTAAATAACGGAAAATTAATGCTATATTTAAGAAGAGAAAAGTTAAATTGTTTGTCATGACTATTCCTATTTATTTATTTAAAGTATTGATATACTTTATATAGTTGCCCAGCTTATAAGCAGAATCAGAATAGAGCTGGAAGGGACCTTGCAGTTTTCTAGTCCAGCCCCCTGCTCAAGAAGGAGATCTATACCATTTCAGACAAGTGACTGTCCAGTCTCTTCTTAAAAACCTCCAGTGATGAAGCACCCACAAAGTCTGAAGGCAAACTGTTCCACTAGTTAATTGTCCTCGCTATTAGGAAGTTTCTCTCTTTGGTCAGTTTCCATCCATTGTTTCTTATCCTATGTCACGTGCTTTGAAAAATAAATTGACCCTCCCCCCCCCTCTTTGTGGCAGCCTCTCAAATACTGGAATACTACTATCATATTCCCCATAGTCCTTCTTTTCTCTAGAATGGAACCATTCTCCATATATGTTTTAGTCTCCAGGCCTTTAATCATCTTAGTTGCTTTGTACTTTTTCTAAAGTCTCAACATCTTTTTTGTAATGTGGTATAACACCTCTGGTTATATAATCCTTCCTAGTCACATTGCCTATAATCAGTAGTTTTGCATGATTTTTTTGCTGTTTTCCAGTATTTTTTATCTGTAGGGAAAAGTCAGACTCCATTCTGAGAGTCATTCTTCCAAGACTAAATCAAGACTCTGACCCTTTAGAATAGAAAAGGTCATGCATGAAATTCATTTAGAAATGCATGAAGATGCTATTTAAATGCAGGACAGGCAACACCTTCTCATCAAGAAATGTTCTGTAGAAAAGAAGGAACAGTTATTTGCAATACCTAAAATACACTTTTCTGTCATTTCAAGAATGCTATAAGATGTTTAGAGATAATTGGGCATAAGGTTGCTCATAGGGATACATCAGGAAAATAAGCACTAAGCATGTTTTATTGTATTTTTACTTTTATAAATATTTTATTTTGCAGTTGTCCAAATGATCTTATAATACATATGAATGGCATCCTTTTCAAAATATAGCATTATTAAGTTGCAACCCCAAACATTCTGTCAATAAACAAATGTAGATATTTTGAATTATGCATAAATAAAATTCTAGTGAAAGCTGGACAAAAGCTGACTGACTTCTAGATAAACATGACTGGTGTGTTTCCTAACTATCACGCAGCCTTAGAAACATATTAAAAACCATGGGACCATGAGAGTCTGGTTGGATCAGGTCAAAGTTTTATATAAATTATACATTCTATGTAGACTGCAATTGTTATTGAGATACACCCTGAAAGCTCATAAATAGAACACAGGTTTTCTCTTCCACACTTGCTTTCTGCTAATTATATTTGTTACTGAAGTTATGCTCTTATGAAGTATTATAGTCATTGGTCATTCAAGGACCAGTTTATTTGCAGAACACCCTCTCCCTAAGAACACCTAACCTGTCCTACCAAATTGTATAAGTGGGTACATTTCTAGTCTCCTCTCCTCCCTTAAATGTTGCTAACCTATAGGACCTAGGAATTGTGCCTTCTCATGGCAGTCCCTGCTGTTTAGAAGACCCTTCCTTCTGAGTCTTGGCAGGCCCCCACTCTTTTAACCTTCCAAAAACCACTTAAGATCTGACTTCTACCCTATGCACTGGGATTGAGTGAGATTGAGATGTACTTGAGAGAGCCATAGTGGACAGTGGTTAGAATACAGTATTGCAGGCTAACTCTGCCCACTGTCAGGAATTCAATCCTGACAGGCTCAGGTTGACTCAGCCTTCCATCCTTCCGAAGTCGGTAAAATGAGGACCCAGATTGTTGGGGACAACATGCTAACTCTGTAAACTGCTTAGGGAGGGCTGTAAAGCACCATGAAGCAGTATGTAAGTATAAAGTGCTATTGCTATTACTACTTGTTGTGAGCTGCATGCAAGCTTAGCTATGGCGCCTTGGATTTTAATGTTTGGTTTTAATAATTTTTATTGAAAAAAGATGTTGTCTTATCTCTTGCTTGTAAGCATCTCAGAATTTGATAGAAGATGAATGGCTACATGAATTTTTGAAACAAACAAATATATTCTTACCACTATGGATTTTTCTAGTCCTTCAAAATAATCTAAAGTGGTAGTATCGGCACACCTGGTCAAAGTGAATTCCATAACAAATAAGTATTAAGCTACAAAATCACTCTCTCTATATATATATAAAAAGGTTTTACAAAAATTATGAAGCAGTGGAAAGAAGACATTTTTACTTTGAGCAGCTTGCTTTAATTTGTACATCTAAAGAAATGGTTTGGGTTTGCCTTTGTTTTTACTATTATGTTATGTCAGTTGTTTTTTAAATATTGTTTTTGTATTTTAAAAAAATGTTTTTAGAAGTTTTCTAAGAGAAAATAAAAGAAAAAACCAAGAAAAAGAGAAAAGTAATGCAAATAAATAATATTGATAAATAGATGAAGTTGCAAAGAAGTTGAACAATAAGCAGCCAGTATATCATTGATAATAAATTAACCTTAAGAAAAACAAAATTAATTAAATTATTTTTAAGAATAATGAAAAGGGTTTCAAAGATCTTTCTGAATCTCTGAGTTCAGTGCAGGATCTTCACTATTTGTTTTTTAAAAAATATTCTTTAAAAAGGGAGGGAAGCAAAAATAGTTGTTGGTTTTGAATTTGCTGTTTTTGTTACTATATTTTGTAGCATGCAAAATCCAATTTAGTATAATGCAAACAACTTTGGGTTAGATTTTTAAGAATTAGCAGGCTATATGTTAAAAAACAGAAAATGTGTTAGTAAACAAAACATTAAATTTATATACATATATAAAATTTTTCAAATAATCAATGTTGGTAGTTATTTTATGGGCTTAACTAGGAATAGTGAACTGCCTACATTATTTTATTTTATTTTTAATGAAATAGAAAGTTAAAATGTTCTGTAATTAAGTTTGGAAAATGGGAAAAGGTATGAGCCAGAGAAATATACATAACAGAAGGATGCTATGAGAAAGAGCTTAAAAATGGTCAGTGAAAAATTGGATATTTTTAATTTTCAAAGTAGTTAATGAGGGAGAGAATGTAGAGGTTATAAAAGGGGATGTCAGAAAATATTGTTTATGCAAATTATGATCTATATTCCCTACTTTAACTGATACTTTTAGTCTCCAGGCAGTCCAAGTTAAATCTTACATTATTATTTTGTATTTGGGAAATGAATGATTGTCTAACAAAGAGTTTATTTATTTATTTATTTATGAAACTTATATACCGCTTTAAGTGCAAGCACTCTCTAAGTGGTGTACACCAGTAAGCAATGTATATATATATTTACATTGCCCCCAACAATCTGGGTCCTCATTTTACCTATCTTGGAAGGATGGAAGGCTGAGTCAACCTTGAGCCGGTGAGATTTGAACCGCTGACCTGCTGAACACAGTTAGCTAAAGTGGCCTGCAGTACTGCACTCTAACTGCTGCGCCACCTTGGCTCATGTTGTAAAGAATCTTGAGATTTCAGTTTTATCCTCTATTGTATATAGAACCAATTATGTTAAGTCGGTCTTTTCTAACCTGGTACTCTTCAGAGGTATACGTCTGGAGATGACCAGAGGTGGTACTGTTAATAGAAGTTAAAGCTCATAAAACCAAGTTAATTTTGCCTAAATTATTTAGAGTTACTTATAAATACAGGACACATTGGTGGAACATAAGGGGATTCTATGTTACAATTAAAAAAAAAAAGCAAACCCATCTTCTTTGTGTTACATCATCCGAAAGAACATTTTATTTAATATTAGCCTAATTTATTCAATACATACTTAGTGGATTTGTGATTTGTATTTTTTTTTATTTTCTAAATATCAGAAATCTTATTGCCAGATGTCTCATTGATCTTAATAGTTTCTCAAGATATTATTCTAGAAGATGTTTTTATTTAATATAAAAAAAATCTTGTAAGATTTCTGAAAGTAATTCTTTACTGTATTGCAAATTGGTGAAATACTCACCATCGCAACTACAGTCCTATACCAAATCCTTATTAATTAAACATTCATTAGATGTTTCTTTCCTCTGAAAACTGAGCTAAAATGGTATTCAGCAAGTGTTCTTCTCTGAAACAGAAGCATCCTGAACCATTCAGGAAAATGTCCAGCTTTGCAATCATCTTCTTCATAGAAATTATTACCCATATAAGGAACCTCCAGTCCAAGTCTTTAGAGGTCTTGGAATGTATCTAATCTGCACTGCTTTTAATTGGCCATACATTCAAGCACATTCTTCCTTGAAAGAATGTTTGAAAGATGAAACAATTTCTTAAAGTGCAGCTAGACTGTAGTCACAAAAAACATATTTTCTTAAAAAGAATTGTAAAGTGGTAACTGGAGGGAAACAGGTTTTGAGATGTTATAAGTAAGAAGTGCTAAAGTGCATATGAGCCACTCTCTTGTGGTATTATGGAAATATGAATCTAGGTAGCATTAAGTTTTACAACTGCATTTAAGAGGCAGAAATGCTACAGGGAATTCAGATTGCAACTTTATGCATGCTTACCTTTAACAATTAAATGTTGTAGGATTTGCTGTTAGTAAACATACCCAAGATTGCATAGTAAAACCATTGTATGGAAGTATCCTGCCTTACTCTACTTTCAATTGTGATAGATAGGTTGTTGGAGAGCAAAGAGAAATTTAACAGAAAGCGGAGAAAGTGTTAGGCAACCAATATTTCTCCAATGTCATCTGTGTTACCATCACATTTAGAGAAGGTGGGGGAAAATTGGAATCTTTTTTCATCTGAGCTGATTTTGGAAGCAACAACGCTAGCACATTCTGTTTTATTAACATTTGGAGCTAATTTCTCTTAGCTGAAAGTCTTATAATCTTACATTGTATTATAAGTTTCCTGTGCTCCTCTTGTGAATCTTCCATGGTGTATAGTGTTTGTTTAGTGATACTATTAAGATCCACATTCCTCCAGTCTTCCAGCATTTGGAATGTAATATCTGCACTGTGGATCACAGTTCTTGATGCCTATAATCCAATTCAAACAACTCATTAGCTTAGAGTTTATTACCTTAGATAATATCCCATTATCCCTTCATATGGTTTTGTGATAGGATTCTGCTAAGGTGATTTTTCTCCTTAGGTTCTAGAAAAATCATGAAGTGCAATAGGTAATTTGAATATAACTTTTCCCAGTCCTCTCAAATTACAGATTTCATGTGGAAGTTCTAAATTTAAGGTAATACTATACTTCTGCTTCATTTGAGGAAAAAGGCATTTTCTTCATGCTTCATGCTTCATTGTCTCTCTTAAATTCAGATTATTTGTATCTAGACCTTTACTTTTGAAATGATCACAATAATTTAAATAGTACATTCAGTCACAACTTCAAAATCATTGAAACAATTATTTGAAATCCTCACACATCTAAAGTAAGTAAAGTACCTGAAGCATGTTTTCAATATTGGAACTAGGCCCTATCTTAGAACATGTCAAATACAAATAAAACTGAACAAACTTCTGGTCTTGTGCACCTAGAAAGGGATATGGAAGTGGAACATCAGAGACTGTTTATAGCTTAAGTCTGAGGGTGGGACCTTCATGCATGACAATGGACAGACTACTCAATAGAACAGTCTGTATTTATTCAGATGCTAGTTGGGATTTTAAGATAGTTAGGAAGACTGAGGGGAACTTCATTGCAACTATCTGCATTGCTTTTACTGCTGCTACTAAAGATTTCATTGTGGTAGTATATTAGAGGCCATTCAACATATTGGAATAAGACAATTTTGCTCAAAGTGCTTATAAACTGTTTTCATCTCTATTTGGTCATAAAGATTAGATAGATTAGATAGATAAAATCAATGCAAATATTATTTTCAACATGTTTCCTTTACAGTTGCTGTAACTCCCCAGTTAGATAATAGCAAAGGAAGAGATATATAAAATGGGAAAATATAAGAAGCAATATTACAGATCAAGTCAAAATTCTATTTAGTTCAGTATTCTGGGTCTCACAGAGGCCAGACAGATAATTCTTAGGATCCAATGAATGGAAATGAGGGTATAAGTCAGTGATGGTGAACCTATGGCACGTGTGCCAGAGGCGGCACTCAAAGCCCTCTCTGTGGGCACGTGCACCATTGCCCTAGCCCCGTCTCCCCCTGTGTCCCCATCCTCACCAGCAGCCCACTTGGAGGAGAGTCCCCCATGTGGAGCAGCGAAGCCAAGGACATGGCAGCTGGGCAGCAGGGACAAGACTTTGCCCTCGTGCCCCGTCGCATGCAGATCATGCTGCGGAGTGCGGGCGGAGGGCATGGCATCCATGGCGCTACACGGCCACCTGAGCAATCTGCTGTGGTGTGCAGTGGAGGCGGTAGGTAACCCTGTGGGAGGGCAAGAGTGGCGCGGTTTTGGGGCACTCGGTGTCTAAAAGATTTGCCATCACTGGGATAAGTCCTCTTTTACGTTTGCTTCCTAGCAACTATTATTTGAGACCTGCTCTCTGGGGTTCTAGAAACTGTACATAGACATTAGTCATCATTGATAGGCCTGTTTTCCCAGAATATAGAAAATAATTTAAGCCAACAACATAGCAAGCAGCTATGGCTTTTCTGCTTCATTTAACTCTGAATGCCTTTTCAAATCAGTGCACAAATCCGGTGTAAATATTTTGATTGTTCAGATGCGTGCAAATCATTTATCTGAAAACTAACATATGTGTAGTTGCTGAGGAATAAAATAAATATAACCCCCCCCCCCAAAAAAAAGACAAAATACCTGGCATAGATGGTTTAATGAAGTCTGCCTCCGAAGAATCTGAGAAAATCTTCTGGATACTGACAATGAAGGAGATCATTTATGTCGTTAACTAGAATGGTTATTTGGCACCAAACAATATATAACATATCTTCTTTTAACTCTGCTAACAGCAACCACCTTTAACTGATTTTCTTTTGTAAGAACTACACACACACACACAAACACACACACACACACACACACACACACACACACGTTATGTGAATATACATATTTTAGGCATTTTTAAAAAAGCATGTTTGGGATAGAAATCATTACCCAATAAAATCAATAACCTTAAATCCCATTGAAAGTTAACTATTGATAGTAATAGTAGTAAAGTCGGAAGGGACCTTGGAGGTCATCTAGTCCAACCCCCTGCTCAGGCAGGAAACCCTACACCATTTCGGACAAATGGCTGTCCAGTCTGTTCTTAAAAACTTCCAGTGTTGGAGCATTTACTGCTTCTGGAGGCAGGCTGTTCCACTGATTAATTATTCTCACTGTAAGGAAGTTTCTCCTTAGTTCTAGGTTGCTTCTCTCCTTGATTAGTTTCCACCCGTTGCTTCTTGTCCTGCCTTCAGGTGCTTTGGAAAATAGCTTAATTCCCTCTTCTTTATGGCAGCCCCTGAGATATTGGAATACTGCTATCATGTCCTCCCTTGTCCTTCTCTTCGTTAAACTAGACATACCCAATTCTAGCAACCGTTACTTATATGTTTTAGCCTCCAGTCCCCTAATCATCTTTGTTGCTCTTCTCTGCACTCTTTCTAGAGTCTCAACATCTTTTTTACATCGTGGCGACCAAAACTGGATGAAGTATTCCAAGTGTGGCCTTACCAAGGCATTGAAGAGTGGTATTAATACTTTACGTGATCTTGATTCTATCCCTCTGTTAATGCAGCCTAGCACTGTGTTGGCCTTTTTGACAGCTGCAACACACTGCTGGCTCATATTTAGGTGATTGTCTACTAGGACTCCGAGGTCCCTCTCACAGTTACTACTATTGAGCATGGTGCCACCTATGCTGTACTTGTGCATTTGGTTTTTCTTGCCTAATGTAGAACCTTGCTTTTTTCACCATTGAATTTCATTTTGTTAGTTAGTGCCCAGTGTTCAAGTCTGTCCAGATCCTTCTGTATCTTAAGCTTGTCTTCTGGAGTGTTGGCTATTCCTGCCAGCTTGGTGTCGTCTGCAAATTTGATGAGTTCCCCATCTGTCCCTTCATCCAAATCATTGATGAAGATGTTGAAGAGCACTGGGCCCAGAACAGAGCCCTGGGGCACCCCACTACACACTTCCCTCCATATAGATGCAGTTCCATTGAGGACCACTCGCTGAGTACGGCCGGTCAGCCAGCTATGGATCCATCTGGTAGTGATTCTGTCTGTTATGTCCCGAGCCTTGCAAACGGCTCGGGCGTTTGCAGGCAGTCCCGGGCAGGTGCAAAGCTGCCCGGGACCAGACAGGCTGTCGCCAGCGCCGCGCGCATGCGCTGGTGCTGGCGCGGGAAAAGTAACACATTTACCCGGGAAGCGTCTATATAAGAAGCTGGGAGGTTTTGGGAGCTGCTGAAGCCATCTACTTGTAAGCTGAACGCTGAATAAAGGAAACTGAGAACTTCAACTGCTTCTCGTGTCTGCTTCCCGCCACGGACTCAACACTGGCGATGAGGGTGGGATTGCCTTACACCGCCTGGAAAGGAAGAAGTGTAAGCTTACCCAAGTGAGTCCTGAGCGGTGGAACGGCGTCGACTCGGCAGCTACCCGCCAATCCAGTGCGCATTCGGGGGTAGGCTGGCTGATAGACCCGTCTCCTGAAGATGGCGAAAATCGGAAGGCTTTCGGAATTTGACATCTCACATCCAGAGCGGTGGGAGTCATACGTAGCCAGGGTGGAGAACTACTTCAAGGCAAACCAAGTGAGTGAAGAGAGCTTGAAGGCTGCCACCCTGCTTTGTGTTTGCGGCCAAGACGCCTTCGACATCGCAGAAAACCTTGCAGCACCTGTTCCAGTAGAGTCTGTCAGCTACGCAGATCTGAAGAAGCTACTGAAAGAGCACTTCCACCCCAAGATGTCCGTCATCGCATGGCGCCACACCTTCGAGCAGAGTGATCAACGGCCCGGCGAGTCGGCCAAAGAATTCATCGCCGCATTACGGAAGGCCGCCAAGCACTGCGAGTTCAAAGACCTCGAAGAACGACTGAGGGACTGATTCGTGTGCGGGTTAAGGCATCGAGATCTACAACAGAGACTTTTCGCTAAAGAAGAACTGTCCTACCAAGATGCCTTAAGGGAAGTCACCGCAGAAGAAGCAGCAGGCGGCGCTCTCAAGAACATGCGGCCGATCAGAAACAGTCCAGAGGTTGCATCCGTGCACCAGGAAGACGCCCAAAGGAACTCCGAGGAGGATCCGGACGAGGAAGTCGACCGTCTCCACCCCACGACGGAAGAAAAACAGAAGGGAAGCTCTTCAGCTCTGCTCAAGTGCATCGGCTGTGGAGGTCGCCACCGGAGAACCGACTGCAAGTTCCGCTCCGCTACCTGCCGGGCATGCGGCAAACAAGGACACATTGCAGCTGTGTGTCTGGGCCGACGAAAGGTACAACCTCAGGAAGAACCGCGCCTGAAAGGTACCAGATTCCCCAGCCAGAATAGGGTAGGGTTTTGTGCTTCGCGAAGAAGCATCCTTAGGACAGGCACACACAAGCCAATTAAGAAAAAGCTGTCACTCAAGGTGAAGCTACAAGGGGTTCCATTATCTATGGAACTAGACACAGGGTCTGCCTTTTCAATTATCTCCTTGCATACATTTAGGAAGATTTGTTCCGGTAGTGGAACTCAGGCCAAGTTAAGGCCTTCTGACATTGTGTTAACAGATTTTCAAAATTCAAGAGTGTGTGTTAAGGGGGAGGCCACCCTTAACATGCAATACAAGAGTTTTGAAGGTCCACTAGACTTATTAGTAGTAGGGGGTGAACGAACGAGTCTCATAGGACTCGATTGGTTTGAGGCCCTGGGGATACACGTCACAGGACTCAACAGTTTACAAACACTCGACCTACAGGAAGTCTGCAAAGAATTTGCAGATGTTTTCAGCCCCCAGCTAGGCACATTCAAAGGACCCCCTGTGTCCTTAAAGCTAGACCCCACTGTCACTCCCGTTAGAATTAAAGCAAGAAGGGTCCCTTTTGCTTTAAAGAGTAAAATTGACACTGAGTTAGACAAACTGATTCAACAGGGAATCCTAGAACCTGTTGATTCCAGTCCTTGGGAGACCCCCATTGTCACGCCTCTAAAGGCAAATGGGGACATTCGCATTTGTGCTGACTACAAATGCACTCTGAATAAGGCATTGCAGCAACATGCCTATCCTGTTCCTGTGGTCAGTCATATTCTGGCCTCCCTCAAGGGGGGGGCGCGTTTTTGCAACAGCTGCCTGTTGATGATGATGCTGCTATAGCTCAGACTATTGTGACCCACAGGGGAGCCTTTAAGGTAAAAAGGCTGCAGTTTGGAGTGAATGTCGCTCCTGGGATTTTCCAAAGCGTAATGGAAAACACACTACGGGGTATACCAGGGGTTTGCCCCTACTTTGATGATGTCTTAATTGCAGGAGACTCCACACACATTCTAGCTGAAAGGCTAAGGGCTGTTCTGTTAAGATTCAGGAAGTCAGGCCTCAAGCTCAAAAAAGACAAATGCAAGATTGGGGTGCCTTCTACTGAATTTCTGGGGTTCAAAATTGATGCTGCTGGGATTCACCCTGCTGAATCCAAACTGACAGCTATTTTAGAAGCACCTAGGCCAAAGTCCAAGGCCGAACTTCAGGCCTTCCTGGGCCTCCTGAATTTCTACAATTCTTTTCTTCCACATAAAGCTAGTGTAGCTGAGCCTCTTCACAGGCTACTAGACAAACAAGCAGTGTGGCAGTGGTCACATACACATGAGGCTTGCTTTAACAAAGTCAAGGCCTTGCTCACTTCTAACAGTGTACTTGCACATTTCAACGAATCTCTTCCTGTGTGCATCGCATGTGATGCGTCCCCTTACGGGGTAGGAGCTGTCCTGAGCCACCTCAGGTCTGATGGAACTCAGGTTCCTGTTGCATATTACTCCAGAACATTGTCTTCTGCTGAGCGCAACTACGCTCAGATAGACAGGGAGGCTCTGGCTGTTGTCGCTGGAATTAAAAAATTCCACGATTTTCTCTATGGCAGGCATTTCACGGTCTTTACTGACCATAAGCCTCTGCTGGGACTGTTTACCACACGTAAGCAGACTCCCCAAATCATTTCCCCTAGAATGCTTAGGTGGTCTATTTTTCTGTCTGCATATGATTTTTCTTTACTCCACAAGCCTGGGAAAGAAATGGGCCATGCTGATGGCCTCAGTAGATTGCCTCTGCCAGTAGTAGAAGCTGACCCTGCGCCAGCTGTCAACATTCTATCAATCCAAGCCTTGCCCGAGCTCCCTCTTTGTGCCAGGGATGTTGCCGCTGAAACAGGTACAGATCACACACTTTCACGTGTCCGTTCCTGGGTTTTGTCCGGTTGGCCTGAGCACTGCCCTAGTCCTGAGTTTCAGAGTTTCTGGTCCAAAAGAAACGAGTTGTCCCTTTCTCAGGGTTGTCTGCTTTGGGGAAACAGAGTTGTCATTCCCTCCTCAATGAGGACTAGGGTCTTAGAATCCCTCCACGAGGGTCATCCTGGCATTGTTCATATGAAGGCTCTTGCACGCAGCCACTTGTGGTGGCCTGTTTTAGATAAGGATATTGAGGCTCAGGTGCATGCATGCCACCTGTGCCAACGATCTCGCCCAGAGATGCCCCAAGCTCCCGTGCATAAATGGGAGGAAACACAGTCCCCATGGTCTAGGGTGCACATTGACTACGCTGGGCCCTTTCAGGGCCAGTTCTTCTTGGTCCTTGTTGACAGCCATTCAAAATGGCTTGAGGTTGTGCCTGTCTCATCCACCACCACTGCAAAGACTATTCAGGTACTGAGGGGGATTTTTGCTGCACACGGGCTTCCAGATG